CCTCTTTCACCTCCCCTCACTGCCCTCCTACAGTCACTACATGTGACAGTTAACCAAATAAGACTCGACTCTTTTACTTTGTTTACTATGTCATGTTGGCCCTCCTTTTAAGTGACTTAATTCTAGGTGACCCAGTTTCCTGCCACCAATCACTGAGCAGGGTTTGTAGTCATGAGGGGGAACAATGGGAGTGACCAAAGACCACAAACTATCTAGCAAGCAGCACTTAACAAAAAGTGAGGCTAAGCTAATAAAGGATGTAACCAAGATGCAGAACTGGCAAAAATTTAAAGGGCCACAGAACATTCTGGAAGTATGAGACACAAAACAAAGAGGATATAAAAGAGAGTAGCTTATCAGCTAAACGGAGTTGATAAGTAACTGGTAATCCAAGATAGCCTGAAGGATTTGGTCAGAGGGAATATAAGAAACTATAACAAATTAACCAGAATGGTGCTCAAGAATGTAGGTGTAACCTTGTAAAAATCTAAACTAATGGCTTTTGTTTGTCCTTGGTTTGACATCCTTGCATTAATGGTCTCATATCCAGAAATATTGCACTGATCAATTACTCCAACTTGTTAAATTTAGTAGTTAATTGTTTGAGGTCTTCTTTAGATAAAGCATATTCAATTAGCCAGTCCTCTACTCATGGATATTTGTATGGCTCTCAACCATTTGTTACTAAAAGCAATGCTTTCCTGACTGGTGTGGCTCAGTGGGTTGGGCATATTCCACAAAACTAAAGGTCACCAGCTTGATTCCTGGTCAGGGCACATGCCTGGGTTGCGGGCCAGGTCCCTGGTTGGGAGCATGTGAGAGGCAGCTGATCAATGTTTCTCTCGCACATCGATGTTCCTCTCCCTCTCCTTCTCCTTCTCTCCCCCTCTCTCTAAAAATTAAAAAAAAAAGGCAATGCTATGAGTAACTGTGTAGATATATATTTTTTAAATTTCAATAGATAACACCAAAGTCCTTCTCTAGAGAATGACTCAATTTACACTCTCACCAGCAATGTATGAGAGTCTGTTTTTCCAAAGTCTCACCAATAGAGTGTGTCAAACATTTGAGTTTCTGCCAATCTAGTAAATGAAAAATTGTATCAGTGAGTTTTAATTTGAATTTTTATTTGATTCATGAAGTTGAGCATCTTTCTATATAGATGTAAGAGCTATCTGCCCATTAATCCAATATTCTGAAGAATAACAATGTAATAAAACATCTGATAAGGAAACTTAGTTTGAATGTCATACTAGATAGCAGTCCTCCCATGGTTCTAGCTCTTAATTAAAACACATTGTGTGGGTTTCTTGCCCTGGCTGGTGTGGCGCACTGACTTGAGTGCCAGCCTGCAAACCAAAAGGTTGCAAGTTCGATTCCCAGTCAGGGCACATGCGTGGGTTGCAGGCCAGGTCCCCAGTAGGGGGCATGTGAGAGGCCACCTATCAATGTATCTCTTGCACATCGATGATTATCTCCCTCTCTCCCTCCTTTCACCTCTCTCTAAAATAAATTTTTTTTTAAAAAAAACACATTGTGTGGGTTTGTTTTTGTGTTGTTTGCTTGTTGTTGTTGTTGTTTTTTTTTTTTTTAAGAAAAGAAAAAAGCTTTTATTGTGACGTCTACGACCAGGACACAAGACGAAGGGCTCAAATCTAACTCCCTAATCCAGAGTTCGGCGAGATTCAAGGGGTTTCAGCACCAGATACTCCTGGACAGCAGACCTTCCTTTCTGAAAGGGTTCAGGAGCATCTGATTGGATGAACAATGTCATCATGGAAAAGGAGGTTCATCCTAAAGACAGATGGTCCCTGATTTAATATGGTTTTACTTTTGATTATTTACTTTACAGTGGTGTGAGAGCGATTTGCCCTAACTCCCAGTCAGGCGCTCCATCAGTAGGGTAAACAAACGACACTCTATGGTGCACTATGTGGCCAGCATTCTTTGTTTTAGTTCAGTGTTTCAAACATTCTTCAGGCCCAGTGTGCTCTCACCTGTGTTAATGGTTCACGGTGAGTATCCATACAACCGTTCCGTTTTTCACTTTCAGTACAGTATTCAATAAATTACATGAAATATTCAAAGCATTATCATAAAAAAGGCATTTTTATATGATTTTGCCAGACTGTAGGCTAAGGTATGTGTTCTGACCATGTTTAAGGTAGTCTAAGTTAAGTTATCGGGTTCAGTAGGCTAGGTGTACTAAATGTGTTTTCAATGTAAGATATTTTGGACAAAAAAAAAAAAAAAAAGGCGTTCTATGGAAAGAAACTTCACAGGGTGCTCTGACCATAAATTCCTAAATGGGCAGCCCCTGGTGGCTTGTCATGCTGAAAGCATAATCCTTCTTTAGTGAAGGGTTTCAAACCAACCCTGTCCATTGTTCGTGTGCATCTAGGTTAACATACCTTTGAAATACCAGAACACCATTCAATGGGGGTATCAACCCTCAAGAGAGTACATAATCTTGTTAATTGTCTTGTAATCCAATCCGCAAGTTGCTTCCTCCTACTTTCATGTAATCTTTGTTTTCTCCTTAATTTTAAATGCAAAAAAGACACCACAAAACTGTTATTCTCAGGAGCAGTGAGATCTTGCTCCCAGTACACGTGGCCAGTTTGGCTCAAATAAACTCATAAAAAGTCTCTACAACACAATAAAAACAATGATAAAAAATTTTTAAAAAGAAAAAAATTCTCTACAGGCTTGAACATCCCTTACATGGACATTTTAAACTTCAGGTGAGTTTATCACACAGTAACCCCAAAGTCAAGGAGCATCCATACATTCCAGCCACCAATGACCTAATCAAGTCTTCCCTAAAGAAATCTGCCCTAAGGGGAAGAATAATAATACCCACAGTGAGCGTTCAAGAAATATCAATTCAACAAATATTGAGAGCCTTCATGACTCTTACACTCCAGAGGGAAGACAGGTAGTCAACAAAGTAAGTAAGTAAATCACAGCTTGTTAGAAGGTGATAGGTGCTATGGTGTATAAGACTGGATATGGGGGAGGCCCAACACATTTATGACACAGGAAGGAAGACAGTGTGGTTGGAGGAAGTGGGGGAGTTGGGGTAAGGAAGAGTAGGAGGTATTGACAGCAGAGACAAGTTACAGAAGATAAAGCTGATCGTTTCCAGGTAAAGCAGATAAATCAGGCACTACCATCAGCTCCTGACGTACAATTCTTGTCTACACCTTGCCCTTCCTTCAACGACTTGGTTCTCTAGGAGGGGCAAAGGCAAGTCGGTGTTCCAGCTGCTCATGTGGGCAGAATACAAACAACTTAAAAGCCCCAGGCACCTGCAGGCAAGCAATCCATGCGTTCATTGTTTGTTTGTAGGCTGGTAACTCCTGGCTACGAGGAAACAATCTCATGCCTTTTTTCCTGTAATTCTGCTTTTCCTAAAGGTTTCCTTTCCTTGTTAAATTTAAAACCCCTCCCCTGGCATAGCTGTGATTTGAGCATCTCACAAGTGGTTTGTCTTGTCAGCTCATTTGCCCATTTCTGAATGACTTCCATTTCAAGTTCACCTTGTGGCAATATTAATCACAACTACATCAGTCACCTCTACAAAGATTCAAATCCTGCCTCTGACTGCCTAACCAATGTGTATCTAATATTATCTGTCCCTGACCTTCAGATCCAGGACAAATACTGGTACTTTTTTCTCAGTAAAAAACAATGCAGGGAGGGGAGCATTTGAGATCTTGCTCCCTGGCATATGTCATCAGTTTGGCTCAAATAAATTCTTATAAAATTTTTTTAAAAACACATTACAGAGAGAGAAGATTTTTACACAAGTCTAAGAGGGTCTGTCCTGCCTCGGAATCCAGAGGAATGAGACAGTGGCACTTGGGACTGAGATGAACCATGAGACACCAAGACCAGGTTTCTGCTGGGGCGCAAAGCCGGATGGGAAAGTTTGCCTGATGCAGGGAACACCTCTTTCTGGGTGGGCAAAACCACCACCAGGACTGCAGACGTGCCCCATCTCTATAACGTTCTCTTCCTCGGGTCTCTAAACTCTAGCCTCCTCCTGCCTCACCTTCATTTCCCCTTCCTCACCCACAAAGGAAAATAGTTACAGCATATTGGACACAAAGCAGAAGAGCTGCAGGAGAGAGACGCCCTACAATCCGTATCATCTCTACAAAGCTTAGGTGTCACCAACTTTATGAGCCTCTCACCAGCCAACACAGGTCCAGTAGTCACACCACCGGGATAAAGATGAATTGTTCTAAAAGCACAGTTTGGAGCCACACAAAGAGGATCAGGACATGTGTCGGGCAATGACAAAATGACCCTAAAGGTGGAGGCCAAAACTCATGGAAAATAAAATGGCATAAAGACAACACAGGAGATGTCACAAGTTGTTGACTACGTGAGGGGTCTGGCATTGAGGGCACAGAACCCAGAGAGGTCTTGGGCAGCTCCATCCAGGAGGGCTAAGCCAGACTCCCAAAGACCTGGAGTGCTCCTTTTGGCATGGGACGAATCTGGGTGTGAATTCTGCTTCCCCCATTTCCTAGCTGTGACATCAGTGTCACATTGCCGGTATTTCAACATCTGCTTGAACTTAGTTTCCTTTCATGAAAAATGAGCCAAACACCCACTTCACGAGGATGCTGGGAAGCAGAAGTGAAATATGTGAGCTGTTCTGGTGCACACCTGGATCTCCAACTTGCACTCTTACTAAATGGCATCCATCATCGCCCAAGAAGCGTCTTCCGGAGATTTTGTCGCATACTCTCTCAAAGTTCGGGGTAGTTCTGTCTATCCCGAACCGCTCCCAATGGCTCCCTGCTCAGTGTTCAGGGTGAAGTCAGGACCGTACCCCCTGCCTCTCTATACATCTGCCAGGATGCAGCCTCTCCTCTCCTCATTGTCAGACCTCAATCTCTCTGCAAGATGCCCCAGCTGGGTCTGGTTCCCTGCCCTCCGCATCAGTGCCTCTGCCCAGTTCCCGGCCCGCCCGTCCTGTCCATTACCTGATGTACGGGAGGAAGGGGTTGACGTGCCCAGAGAGCACAGCAACCACGTAGGAGATGATGAAGGCGGCGGACGACCAGGTCACCAGGAGGAAGGGGACGAAGGCCATTCCCTTCAGGAAGCACAGCATCTCGACGCAAGGAGTGCGCTGCGCTCAGCTGAGGGGCCGGACGCCTGGCTGCTCGGAGGGGCGGGGGCCGCCACGTGCCAGCCCGCCAGGCGGCAACCACGCGCGGACAGCCACTGCTTTCCCGTCGGGACAGGAGGCTCGGCGATGGTGGAGGCAGGCCGGCCCCGGAGGGAGAGGAAGAACGGAGGAGGCTGCGAGCGGCAAAGCAGCGGGCCGGGGTGGGTGGGGCGCGAGCAGTCCGGGCTTGTTGCGAAACCAGTGAAGTCACAAAGTGGCGGCCCCGCCGACTTAGGGGCGCGCGCCGCGACCTCCCTGCCGACTCCACGCTCGGAAGGCAGCTCCTTTCGCTTTTGGTTAAGACTTGGCGGGGGGTCAGCGAGGCGGGCTGCGCGGGAATGTCCGCCTCTGCTCTGCCGGTTGCACAACTCCGGAGAAACTGATCTCCTCCCCGCCCCTCCTTAGCTCGGGGTTTCCGGGGAGAAGCCTTGAACACCCAAGGTTTCCCCTCCCGGGTCCCGCTGCCCGTTTATCGCTGGGAAGAAGGTATAGATATTGTTAAGTGACATTCACCACATCCTGCTGCGCTGCTGCTGGGTGCAGACTGAGGGTACGGTGGCCACTTTGCCAGCACACGTGGCGGGGATGTTAAGCCACCTGGCTGGTATCCGCCTGAAAACCTGGAGCGTGAAGGAGCAGGTTAGGGGTCGGGGTGAGGCTGAACTCTAGCCAGGCTGGACGACCTTGGTGCCGCCCAAGGTTCTGCCTGCCTTCCACCAGCGCGTCCTTGGAGTATTTGTTTCCTAAAATTAACATTTCGTTTCCCTTTCTCCTTTCACTGATCACGGTTCACCCGGACTTGGAGCCAAGACCCACGTAAGATAAGTAATGGTGGCAAACATCTCAAATCCTGCAAAAGGGATTTGTGTCCTGGAAGCACCTAAAAGCACAGTGATTTTGAGTTACAGTTTAGAGATTCTAAGCCCAAGGTATGTGGTAGAGTTCACTGGGTCATAGATGACCAAGCGTGGGTTCATTTTAGCTGCATAAACATTTCTTGGGTGCCACACCCTAATAGAGGACAGGATACAAAGATTAAATAGTTCTATAGGGTTTAGAGAACGTAAGTTCAAAATAAAATAAAGTAATTGTATGGCATATTAAATAAATTGAAGACAATAATAAAATAGAGATACAGGCAAAGCTGAGAGGCAGGGGCCAGTACTCCGATGAAGAACCAGGGAAGGTTTCCTGAGAGATACTAGAGTTTTCAAAAGTAAATGATTGTTTTCCCAGCAAAGAAAGGTGAGACCAGCATTCCAGGCCAAGGAAACAGGAGGAAATGCATAGACTGTGAGATTGCTGGTTTTGTTTCCCTGGTTGGTGTGGCTAAGTGGATTGGGCATCCTCTGGCAAACCTGAAGGTTGCTGGTTCAATTCCCAGTCAGGACACATGCCTGAGTTGTGGGCCAGGTCCCCTGTTGGGGGCGTGGGAGAGACCGTGCAAGAGGCCAGGTTCTCCCTCCCTTCCCCTCTTTCTACAAATAAATAAAAAATTTACTTTTTTTAAAAAAAGCACTCAAATAAGTGCAAGGCAGGGAATGCAGGGGACATTCCACCAGGGCCCTGCTAAGAATTTTATTTTTGTGTGTCTTTGGTCTCTTTTGGTTTTTAGTAGGAGAGTGTAGGAATTTGGATAGACTCATAATTTCAGGAGATCATTGTAACTGTGGGCAGGGAGGGGGAAGTGAGCACCATATTCAATAAAGCAGAAACTCTAAGAGAAAGCTTTTTAAAAAATCACAAGAGCTAATAACTACATACGGTTCCAGGTGGGTATTAGAATAATTACAAAGTGGGGATCACTTTGTAAATTAAATGTCTAACCATCATTCTGTACACCTGCAACTAATATAAAATAATATTGAAGGTCCACTGTAATGAGAAAATTAAAATAACATCACAAAAGCTATCATCCATGGTGATTCATTGTACATCTCTACCTAGGTTTCTGTGTGCTGAAGTCCACACTTGCCTGGTCTTTCTTTCCCTTGCTCTTCACCTTCCTTCCTCTACTACTGATTCATCAGATTTTATTTTTTTAAGTATATTTTATTGATTATCCTATTACACTTGTCCTTTTTTCCCCTCCCCTGTATCCCCCTCTGGCCTGTATCTCCCCTCCCTCCAGCATTCCCCAGTCTTAGTTCATGCCCATGGGTCGTACATATAAGCTCTTGGCTTCTCCATTTCCTATACTATTCTTAACCTCCCCCTGTCTATTTTGTACCTACCATTTATGCTTCTTGTTCCCTGTACCTTTTCCCCCTCCCCTTCCCCTCTGATAACCCTCCATGTGATCTCCATTTCTGTGATCCTGTTCCTGTTCTAGTTGTTTGCTTAGTTTGTTTTGTTTTTTTAGGTTCAGTTGTTGATAGTTGTGAGTTTGCTGTCATTTTACTGTTCAAAGTTTTGATCTTCTCTTTTTTCTTAGATAACTTCTTTTAACCTTTCATATAATAAAGTCTTGGTGATGATAAACTCCTTTAACTTTACCTTATCTGGGAAGCACTTTATCTGGCCTTCCATTCTAAATGATAGCTTTGCTGGATAGGGTAATCTTGGATGGAAGTCCTTGCCTTTCATGACTTTGAATGCTCCTTTTCAACCCCTTCTTGTCTGTAAGGTTTCTTTTGAGAAATCAGCTGATAGTCTTGTGGGAACTCCTTTGTAGTAACCGTCTCCTTTTGTCTGGCTGCTTTTAAGATTCTCTCCTTATCTTTAATCTTGGGTAATTTAATTTTGATGTGTTTTGGTGTGTGTTCCACCTCAGGTCCAACTTCTTTGGGGCTCTCTGAACTTCCTGGACTTGCATGTCTATTTCCTTGGCCAAAATGGGGATGTTTTCCTTCATTATTTTTTTCAAATAAGGTTTCAGTTTCTTGCTCTCCCTCTTCTCCTTCTAGCACCCCTCTAACTCAGATGTTGGAATGTTTAAAGTTGTCCCAGAGGTTCCTAAGCCTCTCCTCATTTTTTTGAATTCTGTTTCTTCATTCTGTTCCAGTTGAATGTGTATTTCTTCCCTTTGTTCCAAATCATTGATTTGAGTCCTGGTTTCCTTTCCTTCACTGTTGGTTCTCTGTGTGTTTTCCTTTTTCACTTTGCATAGCCTTTACTTCTTCCTTTATCTTGCATCCATACTCAATCATTTCTGTGAGCACCCTAATTACCAGTGTTTTGAACTCTGCATCTGATACATTGCTTATCTCCTTGTTGCTTAGTTCTTTTTCTGGAATTTTGATCTGTTCTTTCATTTGGGCCATATTTCTTTGTCCTGGCATCCCTGTGTCATCGTAAGGGGCAGAGCTTAGGTATTCACTAGGGTGGGGCAACCCACATGGCTGCGTTGTGACACTGTCTCGGGGGGAGGGATCAAAGAGGGAACAATGCCGCTTACTCAGCTCTTGTCCCACTTTCAGTCACTTCCCCTGGTACCCACAAGCAAATCGTGCCCTTCTGGTGCTGATTCCCAGGTGGGTGGGCTTATATACATTCTAGGAAGCCATGGATCCCTCCAACAGGGACTTCTGTGAGACTGGGAGTTTCTCCCACCACCGTAATCCACACAGGTGTTTACAGCCAGAGGCTCTGAGGTTTTTTTCCCCACACTGGAACCCTGCGGCTGGTGGACCAGGTATTCCCACATTTGCATGCAGATAAACCAGGAGGAACAACTGGGGAGCAAGACAGATGCACAACCCATGATTCATCTGATTTTAAAAACCCTCCCTGAGACAGAGGAATTAGGACATCAAATGGAATTCACTCAATCATCTTATCTTTCTGTTGCCATCTAATTCCCTTAAGCAATCCAATCAGCTCATCTTTCACACAATTATAAGAATTGTCTGATTAAAATGGCAATAGGCATTTTGTTGCTTAAAATAAGCATGCGTGCATGCATATTTAAAACATATATAACTGTAACTGTATATACAAACACATGGTGTCAAGCAGCCCTGAGAAACAGTGCTGCTTCCCCTTCTAAAAGCTTCCAATACCATAGACCTTACCATAACCTCTCCTTGAAATAGTAAAGCTCACATGGTATAAAATATTGAAGTCCTAGAAAACAACCTCACTGGTGAAGGAAACCAGATATGTCACCCCAAAGTATTCCTTTGCCCTAAAAATTATTTTGAGCTAAAGGTAATTAAGAAACAGCAAAAGCAGGAAGAGCTCTCTCTACCTTCTTTGCTGTCTAAAACCAGAATGCATATTCACTTTACTGGAGATTCTCTGGCCTCTTAGCCCAGAGATGGCACCAGAAGACTCTGCAAACACCTTACTCTATAGTTTTCCCACATACGTTTACCTTCTCAGTTTCCCCCATGGAAGCCTAAAACCATTTTTCTTTGTCATGTCATTTCTATACAAATCCACTGTTTAATAAAATGCTATCTATACTCAAGTTCTAGCCACCTCTTTGAGTTATCCATCCTGGAGTTCCTCCCAAGCATATATGAGATATATGTATATATTAATAAACTTCTGTTTTTTCTCTTGTTAATCTGTTTTTTGTTAAGAGATCCAGCTGAGAATCTAAATATTTTTTCTACCCTATAGTAGATACCTTTAGGATATAAATAATAAAAGTTGTGCTTCTCCCTTTGAATGATACAACTCTCTGTCAAAGTCACACTAACTCAAAGTAAGCATTTCTCAAGGGACTGCCCTTTTGAGAATAAAGTCATTCTTCCTTGGTGGCTACCATTTATTGAAAAGCAGTGTGGGGTCTTCTGGTCAAGATGCCGGCATAGGCAGACAGGGCTTGCTACTTCACACAACCACAACAAAATTACAACTAAAATAGAGAACAACCATCACTCAGAATTGACAGAAATTGAGTTGAATGGAAGTCTGACAACTATGGAATTAAAGAAACCACATCCATCCAGACTGGTAGGAAGGGCCCAGACACGGAACAGGCTGATTCCACATCCACATGTGGTGGACGAGAAATTCGGGACGGCTGTCTCAGGAGCAAAAAATCCCGGCCCCATACCAGGACCCCCAGCCTAGGGTTCCAGGGCCAGAAAGATAAGTCCCCACAACTTCTGGCTACAAAAGGCAACAGGGATTGATTCAGTGGAAGAAACTGCTGGATCCCCAAGCAGTTCCTCTTAAAGAGTCCACACACAGACTCACCAACTCAGACTCCCTCTCTCTGGGCTCCAGTGCCAGGGCGGTGGCTTGAGAAGCACCACTGGTATGGAGGGGGAAGCTGAGGTGTCTGGCATCAAGGCAAGCAGAGGCCATTGTCCCTTTTCTGGGCCCTCCCCCCACAGAGCTGACAGATTCC